CAGAATTCAACAACGTATTAAAAAGATTATTCATTATGATCCAGTGGGTTTCATCACAGGCAAGGATGGTTCAACATACACCAATCAAAGAGATACACCATATCAACAGAATGAAGAACAAAATCCATATGATCATTTCAACTGATGCTGAAAAAGCATTTGATAAAACTCAACATCCCTTCCCAATAAAAACTCCCCCCAAAACTGCGTATAGAAATAACATACCTCAACACAATAAAAACCATATGTGTGGCTGGGCGCAGTGGCTCACGCCTGTAATCCTAGCACTCTGGGAGGCTGAGGTGGGCGGATTGCTCGAGGTCAGGAGTTCGAAACCAGCCTGAGCAAGAGCAAGACCCCGTCTCTACTATAAATAGAAAGAAATTAATTGGCCAACTAATATATATATATAAAATTAGCCGGGCATGGTGGCGCATGCCTGTAGTCCCAGCTACTCGGGAGGCTGAGGGAGGCTGAGGGAGAAGGATTGCTTGAGCCCAGGAGTTTGAAGTTGCTGTGAGCTAGGCTGACGCCACGGCACTCACTAAGCCTGGGCAACAAGTGAGACTCTGTCTCAAAAAAAAACAAAAACAAAAACAAAAACCCATATGTGACAGATCCACAGCTAGTGTCATAATGAATGGGAAAAAAAAGAAAGCCTTTCCTCTAACATCTGGAAAAAGACAAGGATTCCCACTTTCACCACTGTTATTCAACATAGTTCTGGAAGTTCTAGCTAGAGAACTTCAGACAAGAGAAAGAAAGAAAGGGCATCCAAATTGGAAGGAAAGAAGTCCAATTATCTATGTTTGTAGATGATAGGATTTTACAGCTAGAGAAACTTAAAAACTCCATAAAAAAAACACTGATAAACAAATTCATTAAAGTTGCTGGATACAAAATCAACATTCAAAAAACAGTAGCAATTCTATATGCCAACAGCAAACAATCTGAAAAATAAAAATAAAAAAAATATTCCATCCTCATGAAGAATCAACGTTGTTACAATGTTCATACTACCCAAAGCACTCTAAAGATTCAATGCAATCCCCATCAAAATACCAACAACATTCTTCCTGTAAATAGAAAAATAATCCTAAAATTGATATGGAACTGACAAAAGACCCAGAATAGCCAAAGCCATCCTGAGTAAAAAGCATAAAACTGGTAGAATCACATTACCTGACTTCAAATCATACTGCAGAATTGTAGTAACCAAAACAGAATGGTACTGGCATAAAAACAGGTATGTAGACCAATGGAACAGAAAATAGAACCCAGAAATAACTCCACACATCTATAGTGAACCCATTTCAACAAGGTGCCAAGAACATACATTGGGGAAAGGACAGTCTCTTCAATAAATGGTGCTGGGAAAACTGGACATCTATACGCAGAAGAATGAAACTCCAACCTGTCTCTTGCCAAATACAAAGACTCTTTGGAATTATGAAGACAGAGCAAAAATCTAAAGACAGTATTTTTTAGTGCCAAAAGCATGGGGGTCTGATGCTGAACCCAAGATCTAGGAGTCAAAACACTGAACTTAAGTCCTAGATCTGTCTCTTTCTAATTAATTATAAGGTTAACTGCTTGTGTCCTTTAACCTCAAGTTGCTAAATCTGTGAAATGGGGGATGGTGATAATACTTCCTTAATGTATCTCACACAGTTCACAAGAAAATGGAAGGGAAGGTCTTAAAAAAACCTGCAAAACACTGTGCACATATTATTTATTTTATAATGGAAACAGAACTCGTCCACATTTGAGGTATGAGTAGGAAGATGCCATCATGAGAACTTTTGTACCAGTTCACTCCCCTACAATATGTCCTCATTATGTGTTGTTAGAGTAAGGTGATGGTCACCATCTTCTGGTCAGAACAATAGCTCAGGAGAAACAATTTATATCTGGCAAAGCTGAGATTCTACCGTAAGATTGTCCTATCAGAAGTGTGCTATTATGGTATACTTTTCACAATGATTCCACACACTTTCATTTATTTCCAGAAAGTTCTAAGGTGGAGGAGAGGAGAGGGATGTGTTTTATTATCTATGTATTATCCATTTTAGCTGTGTAAAGCTTGAGCCACAGAGAGACACCACCATGCCGCCCAGTTTCCTGTGCCCAGGGGAGGTGGTGCGCTCCCAGTTGTACATATGCTTTAGGTACGTTTCTTGTGAGCATGATGAACGTCATAATAAAAACAATATCTTTGGATCACATCTTCTGACTCTAAAAAGCCCCATTTTAGTTTTTAGAATATGCTATAACCTGTGTAGGATGCATGACAATGTTCATGAGAAAATGCAGTTTTTTTCAATTTTTAAAGTCTATGTCATAACAACTGCATTATGATAAGATTAAAGTTATGCTTGCTTCTGAGTTGTATCTTATTGCTTCTCCCCTCAAATTGCCTGGCCCTATCACAGATTAAAACATGCTCTTTCCATGTTTCTTTCTAGTTTATTCTTTAATGGTCTATATCCTAATTCCCAAACTTTATCCCAGGATCTCATTATCTCTGAAGAGGTCTTAAGAGGTTAGAATACTTTTGGTAGGAGATTGCAATAGCTCAGTCAAATTAATTTATTGCCTTCACCTCAGAACTGCCTAGACCAAGGAGTCTTGCTTCAAGTAAAGACAAAAAGTTGGGCAAAATATCCCCCAATGCAATCTGTAATTTTTTTTGTCCTTTTCCAGCTGAATATTGAATTTGGGTATAATTAAAGGGATGCATTTGTCCATATATTTCCAAGGGCAGCCACCCACTCATATTCATAAACCAATGTCCTACCAGCAGAAGAATAGCTAGAGCTCCCAATATGGTATCTCTAATTAAGGTATCGACTGCATGATTCTGCTTAGAGTATTTGTATACATACATACATATTTGGTTGGTATCAATATATGAGACTAAAATTTTACTTTGTGTACAGTAATACCTCAGAGATACTGTAGGTTTGATTCCAGACTCCTGCAATAAAGCAAATGTTGCAAGAAAGAGAGTCACATAAATATTCTGGTTTCCCAGTGCATCTAGAAGTTATATTTACACTCTACTGCAGTCTATTAAGTATGCAATAACATTGTATCTAAAAACCCAATGTATACCCTTAATTAAAAATAGTTTATTGCTAAAAAATGTTAATGCTCTTCTGAGCCTACAGTAAGTAGTAATCGTTTTGCTGGTGGAGACTCTTGCCTTGATGTTGACGGCTGCTGACTAATCAGGGTGGTGGTTGCTGAAGGTTGGGCTGGCCGTGGCAATTTCCTAAAATAAGACGACAATGAAGTTTTCTGTATCAGCTGAGTCCTCCTTTGACGAAAGACTTCTCTGTAGCATGTGATGCTGCTGGATAGCGTGTTTAGCCACGAAGAACATCTTTAAATTTGAAGTAGATTGTCTCAAAACTTGCCATTGCTTTATCAACTATGTTTATGTAATAGTCTAAATTCTTTTTTGTTATTTTAACAATGTTCATAGCATCTTCACCAGGAGTAGTTTCCCTGTTAAAAGACCATTTTCTTTGCTCACCCATAAGAAGCAACTCCTTATCCATTTAAGTTTGATCATGAGATTGCAGCAATTCAGTCACAGTCCACTTTTAATTCTAATTCTCTTCCTATTTCCTCCACATCTGCATTCACTTCCTCCACTAAAGTCTTGTTCCCCTCAAAGTCATCCATAAGGACTGGAATCAACTTCTTTTAAATTCCTGTTAATGTTGATATTTTGGCCTTCTCCCATGAATCACAATGTTCTTAATGGCATCTAAATTGGTCACTTCTTCCCAGGAGGTTTTCAATTTACTTTGCCCAGATCCACCAGAGAAATCACTATCTGTGGCAGCTGCAGCTTTATGACATGTATTTCTTAAATAATAAGGTTTGAAAGTTGAAATTACTTTTTGATCCATGAGCTGCTGAATGGATATTGTGTTAGCAGGCATGAGAACAATATTAATCTCATCTACATCTCTATTGGAGCTTTTGGGTGCTGAGGTTCACTGTCAATATTTCAAAAGAAATCTTTCTTTTTGAGAATTAGGTCTCAACAGTGGGCTTAAAAATATTCAGTAAACTATGCTGTAAACAGATGTGTTCTTACTCAGGCTTTGCTATTCCATTTACAGAGCACAGGCAGAGTAGATTTAGCATAATTCTTAAGGGCGTTGGGATTTTCAGAATGGTGAATCAGCATTGGCTTCAACTTAAAGTCACCGACTGCATTAGGCCCTCACAAGAGGATCAGCCTGTCCTTTGATGCGTTGAAGCCAGACATTAACTTCTTTCTAGCTAGGAAAGTCCTAAATGGCATATTCTTCCAATAGAAGGTTGTTTTGTCTACATTGAAAATCTGTTGTTTAGTGTAGCCACTTTTGTAAACGATCTTAGCAAGATCTTCTGGACAACTTACTGCAGCATCTCCGCCAGCACTTGCTGCTTCACCTTGTATTTTTATGTTACGGAGATGGCTTCCTTCCTTAAACCTCATGAACCAACCTGTGCTGGCTTCCAACTTTTCTCCTGAAGCTTCCTGGCCTCTCTCAGCCTTCACAGAATTGAATAGAGTTAGGGGCTGCTTGGATTAGGCTTTGGCTTAAGGAAATGTGGCTTTTTTCATCTTCCATCCACACCACTAACACTTTCTCCATATCAGCAATAAGTCTGTTTCACTTTCTTATCATGTATGGGTTCACTGGAATAGAGCTTTTAATTTCCTTCAGGAACTTTCCTTTTGCATTCACAACTTGGGTGACTGTTTGGTGCAAGAGGCCTAGTTTTTGGCCTATCTCAGCATTGGATATGCTTTCCTCACTACGCTTAATCATTTCCAGCTTTTGACTTAAAGTGAGAGACATCTGACTCTTCCTTTCTTTTGAACACTTAGCAGTCATTGTAGGGTTGTCAGATTGGCCTAATTTCAATACGGTTGTGTCTCAGGGACTAGGGAAGCCCCAAAAGTGGGAGAGAGATGGAGAAACCGACAGTCGGTGTAATAATCAGAACACACACAACACTTATTAAGTTTGCTGTCTTATACGGGCATGGTTTATGGCACCCCCAAACAATTACAATAGTAACATCAAAGATCACTGATCACAGATGACTGCAATAGATATAATAATAAAGAAAAAGTTTGAAATATTGAGAAATTACGAACATGTGACATAGAGACACAGAGTGAGCACGTTATTGGAAATATTGCATCAGTAGATTTTCTCTACTCAAGATTGCCACAAATCTTCAATTTGTAAGAAATGCAGTATCTGCAAAGCACAATAAAGTTGAAGTGTGGTAAAACGAGGTATGCCTGTAGTTGACTAGTTGTTTTCAAGTTGGTTTTCTCTACACCAGTTTGGATATGATATTCCAGTTGTCCATGTGCCGGGGCTGGATCTCAGGGCCAGATCACTGGAGGTGGTGCAGAAGTTTCCTGTGTACCTATGTATTTGATTCTGCAGCCTTTCAAGATCTCTGGGCGAGACATAGATGCTGCATTTGTTGCTATGAAGTTAGATGAAAGTTGCAAAGCAAGGCCAGAGAAGCACCTTCTGTAAATCATGCCTTGAGAAAAAGTTTGAGAACAGAGAAATTCTCCAAAGAAGTAAAGCCCTGTGAGGTGAGAGACTATAGTTTTAAGAGTAGGGACAGAATTCCCTGATCGTGGCTTCCACTTGGTGAGATGATTATCTACCTGGGTATGGATGGAACTCCTTGATGAATTGCTTTTTATTGTGTTTTCTAATATACTTTTTGAATTTTCTGGCAGAGCTCTTATTAGCCTTAATCACTTTGAGGCTGGGGACCCTGTCATAACTCAGGGGCTTTGGATAAGACAGGAATGGTCTCTGCCCTGTGCAGTTTCCATGCAGTGGGAAAGAGAGACACTAAACAAGTAATTGCAAATGTGATGACTGATATAGAAGGGAAATCACAGGCTTTATGGAAGCAGGGGAGTGGGGACATGGCCTGAGGAAATGATCTTTAGGTTAAGATCTGAAGAATGAGAAGGAAACCTTTAAAACACTATACACCATTCCAAATTAATATAGAGAAGCCCTGCCCCTTTCCTAAGGCCAACCACTAGTGTGTTAAATCAAAAGTGACTTGGAGTGATTAAAGTCAGTGCAGCAAGAGAGGCTTCTGCTAATTTACACTGAGGCACTCTGAGGTCTGCTAGGAAGATTACAGGACGTAACTCACAGAAAATATCGCACACAATGCCTGGGACACATTGTCCGCTCATTATGCGTTAGGTGTCATTACTGTTCTTTCATTTAAAAAAACCTTTCTTGAACACCTTTCATGTGCAAAGCACCAAACAAAACTAGTGAAATGAAAAGAAATTATCCTAGAATTGAGAGAGATGTGCTGGCGGGATTCAGAAAAAGACATCCCCTTAGTTAGTTTTTCTCATGAGGGGCCGCTGTAACCCAAACAAAGCTTATGGAATGATTTTCCAAACGAGCAAAAATATGGTGCAAAAAGTAAGCTAGAGAAAAGTGGCGAGGCATACACCCTATTAATCCTGGCCACGAACCTTCAATTAGGACTTCACCTAACCCGGGAGTGTCAGGATGGGTTAGAATGAAAGTATGAAACAGCTCAGGGGATGCTGGGTTGTGGGCTAATTAGGGAAGATTTGGTCTGCTGCACCCAGGAACCCTATTCCAGAGTGAAGCCCACCAAGTTCCTGTCCCTCTCACAACTGACAGTGCCTGCTCCACAGGGACTAGAGGAGTCAGACGCCTGTTTTGTGCTAAGAACAAAAAGGCTTATAGACTTGGTAGCCGTTGCTAAGGTGACTCTACTCTTTGGTTGAAACAAAAGTTCCAGAGGATGGAACTAACCTCAAAGAGCAAACTCCAACCGCTCTGTAACACTCAGTTTGCGTGCACGCCATTTTTCTTTGGGTTAGGTTGTACTGAGGATACTTCTGGAGGTGGGAGAAAAAATGCAGGATGGGCTGGGACGCTGAGGACAACTCTCCTCACTGATACTACATCTGGGAACAACATGGACATTCTCCAAACAGCATGATGCAAGGACTGGAAGCTGGCCGCAAGGGGGCCAACAGGGAAGTGAGGCTGGGTGCTCAGGAAGTGCACCACCAAGGCCACTGTGGGCCCAGAAGGCTCTCAGACAAGTTGTGGTGCACAGACTTCTCCATCAGGAAACAACAGCCCTGAGAGCAAGGGATTTGAGTCCCCGTGTCATGAGTGAGAAGACAGAAACAGAGAGGTTAAGTGATTTCCTGCAGAACAAAGCTGGTCCAGGGCCCTCTGCACCACCCCAGCCCGTCGTCTCTCTTGCTATTAGAAAACTTCTCAAAGCAGAAGAAACCAGAAGCCTTGTTTTCAAGGGTGCCAAGCAGGAGGCTATTATGGGAACTGTGGTCTTCAGAACCCTTGGTCAAACGCAGCAGCCTCAGGATGGCAAGATGAGGACGACGCTGGCCCAGGGGGGTACGGCCGTGAGAGCAACAGTGTAAGCGGAGAAACAATCAGCAGCACAAGGGCACGTTCCTGAGAAAGCCGGTTCCGATTTTGTCTCATGTCATGCAGTCCTGCAGACAGACTGGGACGCGAGATTCAGGGTCCCCGCAGGGCAGCGAGCGCCCCAGGCCAGGCGATGGGGCTGGGGCGCGATGCTGCCCCCGCGCGCCCCCTGGCGGGCGTTCTTCAGCGCTCGGCGCGCAGGTGCGCTCTCAGCGGGTGCTCCTGCCACGCGGGCAGGCAGCCCAGGCTGTCGGCCACTTCCTTCCGGACGGGCCAGCCCCAGGCCTCAAAGAAAGGAGCCAGGTTCTTCTGCACTTTTTCAGAGAACTTCTTCACCCACAGATTCATCTTGCCAGCCTTGTCTTTGGGGACGCCAGACAGCGTCTGGTACTCGGCAAAGAGCTGGGTGAACGGCTCCCACCCGAAGGCCTCCTGGAGCTGCAGAGAGAGAGAGAGGAAGAAGGGGCGGGATGAGGGCGAGCCTGGCCGAGAAACACCACTTGCACGGTCACAGGTGCATCTCGTTCATGGGGTCCCCCCCCTGCAGTCATTAGCTTCACTCCTGGGTGTGCCCCCATCTCCCCACCCCACCCCTGCACACTAATGCTCAACCCCCCTCCTGGCCACAAAACTGTGAGCCCCGAAATCTAGCAGGGGGATCACAGGAAGCTAAATGTCTGCAATGAGGTTAAGTATTCAATACATGACTGTTACTATTATCTTTACTTGTTTTTTTTTTTTTTTTAATATATCACAGATCTTAACTGTTTTTCTGAGCATTAGGACATGTCTGGGCTTGACTGAGATGAGAAACCCTCACGTCCTGCATATTTGGACTATGGAGGCCCTAAAAGCTGGGAACCCCCAATAGTGCTTTCCAGACATCGTTGTGATCCTTATTTTTCTGTAACCTTCTCAGACTCGTGAACCTGCAAGGCTACCATATTGCTTTGTGGAACACTGCCTTTCGGGCAAGAAAAGGAAGAATAAGGCACGCTGCAAGGGGCTCAAAATGAGAGTGGCTTATACTTTACAGAGGGGCAGCCCACCCGGAAACCCTCGGCAGGAGGCCCTTGTTTGCTGAGAGTACAGCAATTTGGAATCAGCAGGGAAGTCCCGGCCCCACTGGCCCTTTTATGGATGAGGGTCCTCTGCCTCTGGGGTGTCAAAGCCAAGGACGGATGACCCTGGGTGTCAGGCCTCCCCGGAGTCTCACTGTTATCCCTCACCGTTGCTCATCTGCTCTCACTGTCTTGGCCTCTGACAGTCCTCCTGCCCCCTCACTTAATAATTAACATATCAATAAATTGAAAATTTATCAAATGTTTATCTAACATTCATTAGATATCCATAACACTCCAGATATTGTGGTAGGCAAAAGTTAAGATTAAGAGTGCTTATCCTTCCAGAGGGCACAGGGCCAGCGGGAGAGACAGACAAAAGTAAAATTACTAAAAAAGTTGGCTCATCAAGGAGATGATATCCAGGAGAAGGGGGCAATAGAGCTGACTTTTGACAGGTGACTTGAGTGACAGACAAGATGTCCAAGTGGGTTTCACAGCAGGGAGGAAACATGGGGAGGCACAGAAGCCGGGCACAGCTAGGTGCGTTCACAGCCGCAGCAGCCTGGCATGCTGAGGGTGAACACGGAGGTGAGAGAATGAGGAGGTGAGGCTGGAGCTGTTGGCAGAAGTCTGATCTGCACCCCGAGAAGCAGCTTGGATTATCCTGTACATAAAAGAGAACACCCTAAGCGTTTTAAAGATGCAGCATTAACATTATTTTGGGAGCAGCGTGGTAGATGGATTACAGGGGATTGAGGCAAGATGCTGGAACAACTTAGGAAGATACTGGAATAGAGAATGGGAAGGAAAATGAGGAAAATGAGGTAGGGACGAGGGGAGAAGACCTCTGGCAAGCAGAGGAATCGGAAGGTCCCTGCCTGTCCTGAGACAGAGCCTCAGACTCCACGAGATGGGCCCCCCACCCCAGAGCTTGTGCTGCAGGTAGCAGGGTAGGGCACAATTCAGGTTTTAACTTAGACTTTAGTGGCCACCTACCACTTAGGTCTGCTGTCCCGTACGCCCTCAGACTGGCTATGTAAGAATATAGAAACTGATGCAAACCACATTTATCTCATGGATTGGGGCCGTCCCACATTCACTCTTTAGAAAAATTAGTGAAAGGAAAAAAAATGAAAGAGAGGGTATGGAAGTGCAAAAGCCTGAGTGCTATTGGACAGGTTGCTTAAATTCTTTAAATTCTTAGTATGTGCCTCTGTGAAGCGTGGGCCATACAGCTCCTACCTACGGGGCTGTGGGAGACACCATAGGAGGCTGGATATGGGGCACAGCCTTGACATCTCAAAAACATTAAAATTGAAAGCAGGACTGGGGGAGGGGGACAGGGACTCATGCTTATTTCACGGGAAGTAGACCTGCTTCGTGACTTTGGTATTTTCCCATTGGGTTGGTTGGTTATTTATTCATTTTAAACCATTTTTGGTTCGAGTGGGGTGATGGATGTAGTAGATTTATCTCCTACAGTGCCCTCTTGTGATGCAGTTGCCGTGCAGACACATCCCTGTTATTATAAAGGGATGTGACACCCCCTTGGCTCATAAAACTAAGGTGACGAAAAACAAAACAAAACAATGACTATTAATGGAACACTTACTAGGGGACCAAAACTGAAACCAGCGAGTGGAAAAGCTGTGAGTGATTCAGTCTCGGCAATGTCTAGCAGAGTTTCTGCCCTTGACTGATATACTGTATTTCTACTTATTTCTTTGTCATAATACTTTTCATTTCCTCTTGCATGGCAAAATCACAGGCAGCTAGTGGGACGGGTGTCATTCTCTCCGCCTTAGAGGGGTATGACCCAAGAAGCACTGCCATGTAGCCCAGTATCTCCCATGTCCAGGGGAGAGGGTGGCCCTGGCTGGGGATGGAGAGGTTGCAGGAGAGCTCGGGCGTACAGGGTGCTACCCTGCTGAGGTGTCTGGTGGCCCCTGTCTCCCAGAGGTTCTGCTCAGTACCTGTAGATACGTTTCCAGAGCTGTCCACACATTCCAGTCACACAGGGGGGCTCCTTTTTCCAGATGGGCTTTGATTCTCTTCTCTCTTTCTGGAGGGCTCAGAGCAGGGTGGGCCTGGGCCCTAGGGATGCCCAGCACCGTCTCGTGCACATAGACTGACCACAGGTTGCAGGTGGCCTCGGTGGTGTGCGGGGGGAACTCCCAGCCCTGCTGCTGCTGGTTGTGGCCCAGCTCGTGGATAGGGCCCCACAGCCCTCTGCTCCTCATGTCAGCCTCACTGATGAGCTCCTGCACCGACTCCAGATGGCACATGATGGGGTACCCCGAGTGCATCCAGCCTGGGAACACAGAAGGCAGAGGCTGGCATGAAGGGGGTCCACCCAAACTGTCTCCTCCATTCCTCTCCACTGTGGAACTTTCCCCCACCATCCTGCTTCTCCCCAATAACTCCTGCTTCTCTATGCTGATTGGAAAGTAGATGGCTGTCCCCAGCTTGGTCAGGCACTGAATAGCACCAGTCCCCTTCCCATCTTGCCCCTGAGCTGCGCCCGCCTGGAGGATCTAGACACCTAGACATGGTCATCCTTGCTGGAATTCAACAATCCATTTTATTTTGCAAGCTTCCTTTGTCCCACATCTAAATTTGAGATCATTGAGGCTAGAACAGTGACATTCTTTCTTTCCCCATGTAAACCATTTTTTGTCCAGATTTGTACTGTATGACAGAGATAATTTTGTCTTTTTTTTAAAGATAAGAAAAGTGAGGTCCAAAGGAACTTTCCCCATGAGGGACCAGAGTTCCTCATCTTTCTTCCCAGGCTCCTCTTTCCTGGAAGCCAACAGTACGGAACACAAACCTCTTTACTCATCTCTCCTTCTCGTTTTCAATCTGGACGTGTGTCTGAAGGGCACAGTTCATTTTGCACGCTCCCCTTGAAACGAGCCTTGTGGCCATCTGTGAATTCCTCAGAATTTTTTCTGAAATTGTTCTGAATTCCTCAGAATTTTTTCTGAAATTGTTCTGCCATCCTCTGCCAACTCAGCGTGTAGCTGTTAATGATTTACCTTCTCACATGTAAGCATTTTCCCACTCCCATTGTGGTCCGTGTCTTTTGTGTTTCTTTTCCCATACTCTACATTTACTGTGCTAACAAAATTACGCTTACCCATCTTGGAAGCTAGTAAAAGGCAACATAGTAAGTCCCCCTTGCCGCTGACCAGGAAGGAGCACCCACCCGCTGAGATCTGCACGTCAGCCACGATCCTCTCGGGCCGGAGGAAAGGGAAGGGCCGGGCTGCCAGCCTGGCCACGGCCTGCATCATCTCGTCCCAGAGGCGCAGCGCAGGCTCGGGGTCTGCCAGGGCCTGGAGGCTTGCGGTCGGCACCGTCAGGATGATGTTGTCCGTGGCCAGCTCTCCCCAGGGCGCCGGGTTCCCCTGGAGGCAGCTTCTCCACTCCTCCAGGGATGTCTCCCCTGGGAATAAACGGCTTGGGACCTGCTGCCCGCGTCCCCAACCTCCCTTGAGCTGAAAAGTACAACTTGAACTCCAGGAGGGGAGCAACTGCATTAACAAATGACTATCGCGAGCTCCACAGGCTGCGAGGTGAAGGGCAGGCTTCCAGGCCCTTCTCTCTGCCGGCCCCGGAGTCTCCGTGGCCACAGGGTGTTCCCTAGCTCCTGTCTCCATGTTGTCCTCTAACAGTTCTTCTTCCTTCACCCCTCTCCTGTTCAGCAGCCAGCCCGAGGTGCCCAGGGCGTCCGCAGCTCTCCCTCCTCCCTCATCTTTACGTCCACTTACCCAGCTTGTAGTATGGGGCAGGCACAGCCCTCGTGAAGGTGACAGACACAGGGCCGAGGTGACTGCCCTGGGGCACGATGACGTAGAGGAGGCCACCCCAGAGGCAGGAGACTGACCGCTTGGTCCTGTCCATACAGCACTGGCGTGTCACCACGGGGGCCCGACAGAGCTTGCGGGCCTTGGTCAGGTCATCGGTGTGGCAGCCAATCTGCACCTGGACGGGCGATTCCACCATGTGTCGGAGGGACCGGAGTCCCTGTGGTGTGCGTGCGGGGCTGTGTGGATGGAGGGTATAGACAAACACACCCATGAACCCAGCTTCCCTTTGCTATGAGCTATGCACGGAGACCTGTGAAATCGCAGCGCCCCGAAGTCACATGGACTAAGAAGCACGTGAGATCCAGGGATTTAGTCGGCTCCACAGTGGATCTCCGTCAGACGTGGGTTGGTGAGAGCCCAGGCATAATCCCAAGGCAGTTCCTGGGCCAGGGCGTCCTGTCTGAGCCTTGTGCACACACAGGAGGCAGCGAGGTCTGGCCTGAGGGGGAAGATTGATTCTCTCTCCCCCTTGTCCAGAGCGCCCCTGCCTGGCCAGAAGGACAGAAATCGGTTTTGTCTGGAGTCCTGGGTTGCTTCTCTTCTGTTTGAAGTAAGCAAGCTACGAAAAGGATGCTGACACAAAAAGAGACCCTCACTGCGTTAGGAAGTGACCTCTAGAGAGTCAAGGAGGCAGGACGCGTTTAAATTCTGCACCTAGGGCATAGTGTGGGGAGTGATGGGATTAAGCACGCCCTTCAGGCGTCCAGGGAAAGAGGTGAAACTCAGACGGGCTTGTGCGGCTGGGGACAGGGGTGAGGGACGCATTTGTAACGTTCTCCTCACAGTCACTATTTTTGCACATCCCTGCCGGTAGGCAAAAGTCCCCGCATCTGGAAACCAGAAGGCTTAGGCTGGAGCGTGGACCCCAGTATGCATAGCTGGGAACTTCAGCCACTCACTCGGGGTCCCTGACATTTAGCTGCTTCAGCTGTAAAATGGGCAGACTCATCCCTCTGTACTCTGGCAGCACTGCCGCGATCTGGAACCAGACAGCGGATGAGGAGGACGCAGCTCTAGGGTTTTTTAAAAAATCATTATTTCAAAATGTTAAGGGGGTACAAACGTCTTGGGTACGTGGATAGCTTTTATAATGCTACGTCAGGGCTGTTAGCGCGCCCATCACCCGAACAATGTCCATCGGACCTGTCAGGTAGGCTTGTCCTCCTCCCCGTGTCCCTCCCCACTTACTGACTTCCAGTGACTTTTACTCCTCTGTGCCCATGTGCGCCCATCGATTAGTTCCCAACTTTTAGGGAGTGCGTGTGCGGTTCGTTCCCCACTCCGACTCCAGGGTTTTGAGAGGTGGGGGCTGTGCGCGTTCAGGGCCTTACCTTCAGGCCGGCAGAGGCAGCAGCTTCAGACAGCGACACTTCTGCATTTTGTCCTTCCAGGAGGTAGAGCCTGGTACTCACCCAGGAGTCATGGCGACCTGAGCGAGTCAGAGGGAAGGCCGAGTTCTTTCCTCCTCTGTGACTCCACCTCCACCCGGGGACTCCCAGCCCCTCCCAGAGGCACCGCCTCTCCCCTGCGTTCCTCGAGTCAGCCCCGCTTCCTGGACTCACTCCTCCTAAACCGTAGGCAGAACCCCAAGCCCCAGCTTCCTGAAAGTTCCTGAGAAGACACAGCTGCCTTCCCAGGGGCCGTTGCCGCTGTGTGCTACCAAGTCGGCCAGTCCCACTCCCCCAGGTCTGTAAGGCTCTGGGCGCTCTCTGCTGGTTTCATACCTGGGTTGGTTGCATCGATCTCCACGGTGATGGGGTGTTCCAAGGGGTACACGCTGGAGGGGCAGGTCCAGGCGCCAAGGCCCTGGGCCAGCTGGGAGCAGTCAGTCCCAGAGTGCGCCAGCTCCGTGGCCAGGCAGAGCACCGTGGCCTCACGGGAGTCCCTGGCCACTGGGTTCGCCTGGCTCACAGCCGGGAGGCCTGACTGCCGCAGCATCTTCCTCAGAAGCCGGTGCAAGGACACATAGGCAGGGACCCCCTCTGCAGGAATCTGTAGGAAGCCTGCACCATCCACTCCCAACCGTGCCAGACAGCTCTTTTCCAGGTTCCCGTTCCCGTGGTTCAGTGTAGCCTGGAATTCAGACAGCGCCTTGCGGAAGTGGTAGCTCCGCATCTCAGGGGTGGGGACGGGGAAACAGCCTGGGCGGAGGGTCCGAGGCAGGATGCTGAGGCCAAGGCGGTTGAGGATGATGTTACCGGGGAAATCAGCCAAGGCAGAGCGGCCCGGGTTCTGGGAGGCCCACCACCAGGCCTGGCCCCCAGTCAGCAGCCCCCCACCCTCGGCCACAAACTCCTGCAGCTCCTTAGCCTCCTTGTCGCTGTAAACCTTGCAGCAGTAGACACAGTCGTCGCTGGTCAGACGAGGCTCCAGGCTGCACTGCAGGCCATGCTCCGACAGTAGGGAACACAGGTTTTCCAGACCTGGGTTCACCCCGACTTTGCCTGTCTGGCTTCCGGCCAGCCAGCGCACAGCATTGAGCAAAAAGGGCCCCATCTTGGGGGCACAGAGCATGTTCTCGTGGGCTGCCAGGACCACCCGGCCCCGGCCATAGCGGGCAGCTGCCAGGAAGCAGCAGAGGGAGGCATCGAGCCCCAGGGGGAAGGCCAGGGCCCCGTGCACCAGCAGTTGCGAGGGGATGCCCCCTGTCCCGATGTCCAGCTCCGAGATGCCTTCCAGGAGCTGCTGCTGGTCCTGCCTGAGGTCCTCCCCACACCTGGAAAAGAGACACGAGGGACAAGGAGATACAGTCAGTCAGTCAATGAGCCACTGACGTGAGCTCACTGAGTAGAGAAATCTACACGTGGGGAGGATGACATGGTTCACATCAATCTTCTCATTCTTACTAAGGACATTTAGGATTTTAGCATGTAATACCATTTATTTTATCCAGTTTAAGGCACACTTTTTCACCTTTCTACAACTGATAGCATATTAATTAGCAGTGTGTAAGAAACACGTAAAATAATGGCGTTTCTTACAATCGATGTTGTCATAGACTTGATGAAACACTGTAGAGGGAGGTAGTAGCCTTATGTGCATATCTTAAAACCCACATTTTCTAAATAAACACTTCTAGGAATTCTTCCCATTTAGTTAACTAAGTGTTGAATGTTCTGATTTGAATTTCTTGTCTTTTAAAATAAATAAACATATAAATGAACTTAGAAAAACTGCTCTATTATGCCTAGAAAAAGTAGTGCTGTTTATGGATTTCTCAGAGATAATCTTCTGCAAAAGAAGGCTGAAAAAACCTCAAATTTGCACTCTCCATGGGTAGCTCTGATCTGAGAACACATCACAAGTAAACTGCTTGACACCACACTTGTAGATGTATACACACATCACTTTAAAAAAATTCTCTCAAATCTGGCAATCTACTTTTTATTAAGAAGTGAGGAAAATGGAATAAATTCAGGAAAGGTTTTATATTTCAAGAACTGTTTTTTAGCCAATTGTTAGGTACTCCAAATGTCAAACAGAAGACTGGTTAAATTAGTTATGGTTAACTGCAGATAGCATACCGTGTAATAATTAAAATAATTATTAGAAAATTTGGAAAATTTTTTCAAATTAAATTCCAAGATACTGTGCTCTAAATAAGCCAAATTTTGAAAAAGTAAAATAAGAAAACCACAAAACCAGATGTAGAAACAGTATCCGAAGCATATTTACTAAAATATCTTCAGTGATCATCTTGGCTAGTGGGATTTATACGTCATTTTAATTATCTTTATAAATCTTTATTGTTTCAAGTTTTCAAGGTAACATTTATTTCTTTTATAATAAAAACTCAAATGTTATTTTTAAAAACAAAAGTAGTTTATTCATTCTGGTAGTAAAACATTATTGAAAAAAGTAACTCTTGTACAGACAGTTTCTCCTTAATTTCTTTTCAGCACAAATGAGGAAATGTCATGTCTTAGTTTCGTCATCTCATTTTCAAAGTAACATGGCAAATATCACAGGGTTCAGGTATCAGTTTTGCCTGTGGCTTTTTTCTACCTGTTGAGACTCAAGACTTATTTGGGGGGAGGGGCGGTAATGACATTGAGCTATGAGACTTAATAATAAAACTTCCCACTCCACATGTTCTTCTAGCATCTTCTGACAGGCACCTGGCAAGGTCTTAGCTAATGACAGAAAATATTCTTTTATTAAAATTTTTTTCCTTTTGTTTCTTTTTTTAAGCCTCTATAATCACATGACAGAAAACCTTCAATATGGAGAATTACAGTTATCTGCAGATAATCCTCTCAATATCTGATTAAAATCATTGAACACATTCATCCATGTGGACACACACACACACACACACACATAAACACACAAACAATCATAGCAGCACTGGAAACCCAGGAAATGCCTGGGATGGTTGGTAGGAGCTGCAGGAACTATATGGAATCAAAGAGGAAAAAACCCAAGACTTCTGCTACGGTTTCCTTGGCCCCTCCAAATCTCACATTGAAATCTGATCCTCAGCGCTGGATATGGGGCCTAATGGAAGGTTCTGGGTCGTGCGGGTGGATACCCCATGAATAGCTTTGTGGCATCCTTGTAATAAAGTGAGTTCTTGTTCTTTTAGTTTCTATTATAGAAGAACTGATTGTTAGAAGGAGCCTGGCACCTTCTCCCTCTCTCTCCTGCTTCCTCTCTCACCACATCACTTGCACAAGCCGGGCCCTCCTTGGCCTTCTGTCATTAGCGGAAGCTACCCGAAGCCCTCGTCAGAAGCAGATGCTGGCTCCAAAATAAGAAAACAAGATACTTCTTGCAAGAGCAAGAAATATATTCCAATCACCACAGTGCATATGAATGGATTAAATTTCTATATGAAAAGACAGATGCTTTTAGATTAGGTTACAAACAAGTAGATGATACAAGCTGCTCATAAAAGACATACTTGAAACTAAATGACACAGGATTGAAAATTAATAAATCGACAAAACTTTATCTCAAAAATATGAAAACAAAAAACCTCCCAGATATTAATAAGAGATTCAATTGATTTAAAAGAGGAAAAAATTAAAATAAATATTTTTTATGGATAAAAGTTACATTTTACTAAAGATATAATTTTCATTAATTTTTATGGCCTGAGAAGTACAGACCATAAAGCAATGGCTGCTACAGAGAAAACTAAAATTTGATGAGCTGATTATTGCATTTGGAGAAGGTAATGCACCTCTCAGCACCCAGTGGAAAACATCCACCCAGTGGATATTTTACATAAAAAAGAACATTAAGGATAGAGATGATTTGAGAATGACTTATAAGCTTGATTAGAGATGGAAGGCAATTGTACAATATTATCTCCTAGAGCTGTGGCCCCCAACCCATGGGCTGTGGACCAGTACGGACACATCTGTAGCCTGTTAGGAACCGGGCCGCACAGCAGGAGGTGAGCGGCAGGCAAGTAAGCAAAGCTTCACCTGCATTTGCAGGTGCTCCCCATCACTCACATCACCGCCTAAGCTCCACCTCCTATCAGATCAGCAGTGGCATTAGAAGAATCATTATAGTGAGTCGTTTTCATTATATATTACAATGTAATAATAATAGAAATAAAGTACACAATAAATATAATGCACTTGAATCATTCTGAAACCATCCCCCCCCCCACCCTCTGTCCATGGAAATATTGTCTTCCATGAAACTGGTCCCTAGTGCCAAAAAGGTTAGGGACTGCTGTCCTAGGGGACAAAAAAGTGAGACCTTAGCATGTTATATTTGCCAAGTTATTGCATAAGTATAAAGATAAAAGGCAGGCATTCTCAAACATGATACATTAAATAAAAAATCAATTTGCAGAACACACACACATAGATAAGCATCTGAGAAGATCCACATGAAACATTTAAGATTGGCTACCTTGGTCCAGAGGCATGAGATTAGAGATGATGGTATGTGAAGAGAGACAGGTTGCCATTTTCCTCTAGAAATTTCTGTATTGTTTGCATTTTTTTCCACATAAGCTGCTTGATTCCTTTTTGAAATATTTTTATAAAAAGATATTTATCAAAAAAATAATGAAGGGAGGGAAGGAGGGAGGAACAGAGAGAGAAGTGAGTTAGCATAGCAGTTGGGATACTTAGGTAAATCTCAACAGATGATTTGACAGTATTATAAAGGCATTCATTATTAATGATCTCAGACAATCAGTTGTCAATATTTACATATTGTGTAATATCCATTTACAATGTTTCAGTCTGGATAATAACATAATGAAAGTAGCTATTATTTAATGAGTTTTAATGTATGCCAGTCATTTATACATATGTATTACCTCTTTTAGTCATAATAAACCTGAAGGTTGTTATTCTCACTTTATAGATAAAGTTTAGAAAAGTTAGGCATGGGGAAAATTGCTTAACTAATAACTGCCAGGGACAGGAAGCAGACCCAAGCTGGTTTGCCACTACAGCCACTGTTAATTGTCTACAGACCAGAAATCTCTCACTCAATTGCGGGGTCTTTGAATGAAGCCCACAGCTGGGCACAGAGCCATCTACAGGCATGTCTCATGCAAGGGAGGCTTTAAACAGACGTGAAGGTGTGAAAAACACCACATTTATGAAAAGCAAGAAGCATGTGTTAATTCAGAGCTGGAAGTGCAAGGGAAACCACTGTGGAAAAAAGGAAAGGGAGTTCAAAAAACACACCAAATCACACCTGAGCAGATAGGTGACATGGGTGATAGGTTTCTGAATGCAGATAAAAAAAAATTCCATAGTAGGAAGCTACAGAAATGATTAGAAAGTTAAGTGTGAAGTGAACTGCTATCATTTACACCATACCAAAAGTAAAACATCTAACAATTTAAACTGTTTTTTTCTTGTTTTACCTCTCTATCCAAACATCAACCAATTTTTACTTGAACACAAAGGTAATGAAGTCTCCTGGTAGAAATCAAATATATCTTCACTTAGCGTTTGTTTATTCTGCTCAGATTATATAGGATAAAAGAATACTTTTCTGGATATAATTCATTCTGATAAATATACACAGGACAGAAATACTGGAATATAGGGACAATGTTTTCTTGGGATTCATAACATCAAAAAAATAGTAGGGGGAACTATGTTAATCAGACGTTTTAAAAAACATTTTGAAGACCACCCCCATGACTTTGTATATCTTTTCTGTATTTTTTCCTTTAAGTACAGATAAACTATAGTAAATAACAAAACCTAAAAAACTGTAAATCATCACTGAGCAATATGGGTATAGACTATCAGAGAGGCACTTTGAAATTGTAAACATAAAAAATTGTTTTCTCTCTTATTTTAAGCTAGTAGGCACAGGATAAAAATCCCATTAGGCCTATTAAAAACACAATTTTAAGAGACCCATTTAGTTTTCAAGGTGACTAACTTTGAAAGTTTCAGAGAAAATAGAAGTACAATGTATGATTATAGATCTTAAAAAGAAGTATAGTTAATCAGATAAGGACCATCAGAAAAAGTAAAATTTAGACTAAACTAGCTTAAAAATAAAATATAAAATAGAAGAGGGCCAGAATGTCTGTTTTTACTTTGAATACTACTGTAACTCTAGGGAGAAAGAATGGAAAGCAAAGATTAGTGTTTTATAAAAATGATAAATGTGGATTATTAATTATTCAAGCAATACAAATAAGCACTTAGAAAAAAGTTTAAAAAAACGCAATGTATCATTCCTCAGTAATAACCAGACACATCTAGATATAGGTAAAAAAGACAGCTTGCTAGCTACATAGATAGATAAATGGAGAGGAAGGAATTATGTAAGAAGGGGACCATGAGGCATTTCTATTTTTTTTAATAAAAAATCTTTACATTTAATTTTGCTTGAATTTTCAGGTGAACAATAAAATAAAATAAAACTGAGAAAGGCTTAAACAAGATATTTCTTCCCCACAAGAGAGAATAATTGCTGAAACATACCACCATGGCTAAGAAGAAAGACGATCAATTCCATTAAGAGATTGCAGTCATGAAAACAATGCTGTAGTTGGGAGAGTATTGGTTGGCTCCCTGCCATGAAAGATCAAGGAAATGCTTAAGGAAAGTTGGAAACTTAACTGGACTTTTTCCAATATCTACAGAAGACATGTATTCACTGGACAGGAAGGTCACATGCAGCTGTGTACTGTCACTGCTTCAAGGATGTCTCTCCACCAGCACACTGTCCCTGGTTGTTACTGTTAGGCTTGAAGAATTCACCCTCCCCAAACTTCCATCCAAACCTCCTAAGAAACCCAGCCCTCTCCCCTTCCTAGGGGTGTATTAGGCAGGTAGCCTTTGCCAGACCCCTAGGGAGATAAAGGAATGGAATGCAAGAGGGGAACTCACTTTCCTTTTCCCTCCCAGTTGTTCGAAAATACTTTATTACAGTGGCTGTTCTGGCCCAGTTGCTCACTCCCCCTAGAAAAACCCTCTGTAAAACCCAGGGCTCTCCCTCCCTCAGTGTGGCTACTTTTTCTGGCCTCCAGCCATCTGCACCCAGATACTCAAATAAACAGCATTTTGCTACACATGATGTTTCATGTGTCTCCATCTTGGCTCCAGACCTAACATGATCAAGAAATCAAAATATCTGGGGTTTATATACTAAGCCCACAAATTCTGAAAAATAATATAAGACAATCATGGAAATGATGACATTGAGGAAATTATTTTTTAGGTGTGATAATGGGGACTTGTGGCTATGGTTTCAAAACAGTTCATATGTTTAGAGATATATATTTAAATTCTTACAGATGAAATGATATGGTGACTGCTATATGCTTCAAAATAATCTTGGGTGGGGAGAGGTAGGGCCATCCAGATGTGATAAGATAGAGCAGGAGTCCACTATAATTGGGTTGGGTAGTGGCTGCATAGGGGTTCATTGTACTACTCTCTCTGCTTTTGCCTATGTTTAAAGTTTTCCATAATTAAAAGTTAACACACACACACACACGCACACACACAAATATGCCTTAGATTCAGTGGCAGAGATGAAAAATGTAGGTGCAGATGAAGAAAATCAGGTTTAGTTTGCTGAAGAGGAGGATCCCTTGGGGCGATTGATGTGATTTAACTTGTTTCTTCCTTGTGTTAGAGCCAGAAACAAGTCAAAGCAAACCAGATCCACCCTGTCTTTGAGCAACCACATCATCTCCTTCGCCCTCTCAGAAGGGAAGACTTCCACGAGGGCCAGCACTTGGGGCTGAGGGCCCAGGCACCACTAATGCTCACGAGCATCTGTATGCCCCTTCTTCCTTGCAGCAGAATCTTGATTTCTTCAAAGATGCCAGGGCCCATTTAAAAATATCCAGCGCCTTATACCCCCTGGCAGCTAGAGTTGGCCACGAGATCTAGGGTTGGCCACTAAAATATAAACGTAAGTCTAATGGTTAGGGCTTCCAGAAAATATATGACTTTCTAAATTAAAAGGGACAGACTCAGCAGGTATATCCATTCCAGCTTATTACTGTCTGGGTGTAATTACAGTACCTGAAGTAGTAATGGCCATCCCGTAGCCATAAGGATAAATGCAACACAACTTGATGGGGGAAGGGGTGATGGAACGAGGGGGAATCAGAGAGACAATGACCATGGGACATCTTGGAGTCCCTGTCACAGGTCTGGACTATCTACCTGGCCTACATGTTACATAAGAAAAATAAATCCCTACACGGTTATCCACTATAGAAAGACTTCTGCTACATGTGGCCAAACACAGTCACTAATATCTTTAAACCAAAATATCCAAAATTAAACTCCTAATCTCCTCTAATCCACCTTCTGGTAGTCTTTCACAGCTCAATAAATGGTAACACCTTTCTTTAAATAATTCAGACCAGACAAAAAATCTCAACTCTTCTTTCTTCCTCTTGCTCCATACTCAGGCCATCCGTCAAGCCTGTTGTGTCCTATCTTTGAAGTGTGTCCAGAATCAAACCTCTTCTTAGTAGCTCCATTGCCACCACCCTCATCTAAGTTGACAACATCTCTCATGTGGTTGATTTCAGTGAACTCCTGATTGGTCTTCCGCTTCAACCTTGGCCTCCTACAGTCTATTTTCTACCATCAGTCAGAGGGCTCCTCCTATGAGTCACATTGTATCAATTCTCTGTACAAAATCCCTAATGCCTTCCCATCTCATTGTGCACAGATCTGAAGTTCTACCCCTGGTGCAGATGACCCCAGCCCTCATGCACTCAGCTCGCACCACTCTGGCTTGCTTGGAGCCCCTGGATCCTAGCAAGTGGGCTTCTGTTCCAGGTTTTCACCCTTGCTCCTCGCCCTGCCTGGAATCCTCTTCTCACAAATGTACACATGGCTCATCCCCTCACTTCCTTCGGGTCTCCTTTCAAATGCCACCTACCAGAGAAGCCTTCCAAGCTGGCCAGTCGCTTGTTTTCACTCACTCCATTGCCATTCTTCTTCATTCATCCTCTCTGTTTCAGTGAACTGCATTTCCCAGGCTCCCCTCCCCCTTGGATCCTGGCGGGGTCAGCCCACGTGAGGCAGAGGTAGAACACTGAAGTCAGGGAGCAAGCACAACGGAGCCAAGGTATGTACTTCTATCTCCAAGCTGTGTCTCTGGTATCATGGTGTCTTACCTGTGACTACAGCTCCCACCAGACATGCCTCCCACCCGTGTTTCCAGCTTCTGCTGGGCAGGCCTAGCACGGCTCCAGGCTCGACCCGGTGGCCGCAGCACCTGGGTTCCAGGAACACTTTCCTCTGCGGGTCCTGCTGATGCTAATCTCTCAGTTACTTGTTGTTTCCTGTGTGGGTTCTCAGCTTTTCCATTACCTGTACAGTCAATTCTCTACACCAAACCCCTTCTGTTTGAAATGTCAAAAAAATCCTGCCAAATCCAACTTGGCCTGATGGCTAGGACTTCTCTCAAGAGCTTAAATAAAATAGGCTCCCGCCCCTCCCTGTTCTCATGCAACCCCATTTTCCCTGTGGGCTCTTATCAATGCCTGATAAAGTATATAGGTATTAGTTTCATTAATTGCCTAATTCTTCCCTGGAATATCAGCCTCATGACAGCATGACCTATCTGCTCTGACCTCTGCTAGAACCCGTGTCCAGGACAGGGCCTGACCACTGGAAGGTGCTCACACAAACAAATGTTCCTTCATTTATTTAGGAGACATCGATAAGCATTCTCTGTGTTCCAGGAACTAGACAGGGAGATAAAGTGGTGAACAAGGTACACTTTTCTATTCAGCTGATTATTGCCTTGGCCATAGGAGGGAGTGGCAGTGAGGACCCAGTCCCTCTTGTTCCTGGGTGCATTTTAATTATCCTGCTTTTGATTTGTGATAGTTTCAAAACTAAGTGGAAAATCACCTGTACTGACATAGAAGTGTGTTGAACAGGGGAAACAGACACTCACGTGACATGGAGTGGGATCTTGGGCACTTTCTTAGAGACCTTGAACCGGCCTTTGTCTCCATAGATGTCTGTGAAATACACTCCAGCCACACTTGTCACCTGGTTCCCAGGGAACATGGACAGCACCTTGTCATGGCCGTGCTGGCTGGCCCAATACCAGGCTTGGCCCCCGATGAGCAAGCCCCCTCCGTGTTTCACAAACTGGATCAGCTTCGCAGTCATGGTGTCATCGTAGGCACTGGTGCAGTAAACCCCCAGGGGCTCTCCCGGTTCTGGCCCGACCTGGGCCTCAACCCCGGAGTCCTGCAGGATGTTTGCTAGTGGCCCCAGGAATGGGTGCACTCCAACGGGAGCCCCAGGAGATGGGCGGAGCCAGCCCACTGCATTGAGAAGAAATGGAGCCAGGCCAGCATGCAGCAGGTAGCCCTCATGGGACACGACCACCAGGCGGCCTCGGCCATAGGAGGAGGCAGCAATGAGCACCTGGCCTTTGTCATTCACCATCACTGGGAAGGCGGCCTCTCCAATAAGAAGGAGTTCGCTGGGAATGGGGTCTGTGGGGACATCCCAGCTTGTCACTCCATCCATGAGAGACTTGAAAGCAGCATCCGGGGTCGTCTCCATGGTTCTGTCAGCTGCTGCAGGGGAAAGGAAAGACGCGGGACGGTCAGAACAGATGAATGAACTAGTGAAAAAAATCAACAACTAAATGCATTCAACCCTCCAAATTTTATTGGGTTTCCCATCATGGGCCAAGCACTGTTCTGTTTTAGCACCAGGAGTACAGGAACAAAACAAACAAGGTTTCTGCTTTCATGATTCAAATATTTTAGAAGGAGAAAGACAATGAATAAACATATAAATGAAATGCAACAATTGATCGCTATGAAGAAAATAAAACATGGCGATGTGATATAGACTGGAAGACTATTTCAAGTTGGGTGACAGGAAAGGCCTTTATGAGAAAATGACATTGAAACTGAAACCCAAAATGTAGGGCGGGGGAAGCACTTTACAGCACAGAGAAGGGTCAGGATGGCTGAGAGCAAGGTGCTGGGAGGAACGCCTGCGGAGGAGTGAGGGAAAGGTTAGATCCTGCAGGGCTTGGTAGATCAAGGTGAGACTTAAGTTGACATGCATGAGTTGACTTAGTGTTTGATTACTTAGGACAAAAAGGTCACATGATCTGTCAGAAACTGCATTTCCACTACATGAGTTGGAAATGCCTCCCTCTTTATCAAGTCTGCCCAAATGGGCAAAGCCCCATTTCTATTTGTGTAACATTCTGCAGTTCCTAGGTCTTCTAAAATTTGATGTGCCTAAAACTGAGGTCATTATTCCCTTCAAAGCAGCTCCTCTTGGATAAATTACTTAAGCTTTGGTTTTCCCATCTGCAGAAAGAGAATAATACAGCTCTTGGAGGAGTGTTCTTGAAGATTAAAGGAGTACAGACAAAATTACCTTGTGCAAAGTCAGCACACACAGTGAGCACTGGTTAACACTAATGTCTGTTCCTTTGCTGCTCAAGTGACAAGGGCAGTGTAGCAGATACTCTGGGTGCCCTGTGAGGAGCCCACTGTGGGGTACTTCCTGTGCACTTTGATGCCTTCTCCTCTCTGCAGGTGCACAGGACAGCCCTGAAATGGCAGTGAGTTGATGTCACTCAGTGGAGGAAGGAGTCATGGAAAAATGCCCAGTGGTTGTCCTGAGGCCCATTCTACCATGTTCCTCAGAGGGTCCCTGGAGGGCTTCCTGAAAGGCTGGCACTTGTCCCCGAGGCCACATAAGAAGTTTGAGGAGAAGGAAAGAGATGTTTATTAATTTGCTGGCCAGTGAGGAGGTTGGCAGATTCAGGTCTTAAAGTACCAACGCCCTGCCTCTTAGGAGAAATTTAGAGCTTTCAAAGGGGAGGGTTTCAGCTTCAGGTTATTGCTGTTTAACTATAGTGGATGGTTCTGATTTGTCCCAATCTTTGGCTAAAATAATCTTGTGACCTCCCAGGACAATTCCCTTGAGCCAACTCTTGTGTTACAAAGAACAAAGGACATTCCCTTGCCCCTCCGGACTACTGGCCTGCAGGTTTTAGTTCCCAGAAGGAGTGGGGGAGGTTTAGAGAGACAGAAGACAGTGTTTCCGTTTTCCATGCCATTACGCCTGTTACAGAGAAACTGAGGTCCAGACGCCCCTGTGGGCTGTAGACAGCTCAGCCACATCCCATTCGTGGCTTTCCCTCCTACCTTGACTCCTCTCCCGACTTCCTCATTCCTGCTTTTCTGGGCTCACTCCCCCAAAACCTGCCTCCCCACCACTTCCCTTCCCATCTACCACATTTGCTTAATGCTGCTCCCAGAAAGGTGGATTCACAGGAAGCCGACACTGACGGAGCCCTGAGCCTGCGGGCGGTGAGCCCAGGTTGAGGGGCTGGGAGTGGAAAAAGCCAGCGGCGAGCGCGCAGGAAGCCCGGGTCCGCGCTAACTACCTATCGCAAGACAACTGGAGTCTTTCCCGTACGGGGTCGCCCTAGTTTGCCAGGAAAAACAAAAACAAAGAAAAAACCCAGATGAGCAATACGTGCCGGGACGCCGACCCGCCGCCGCGCAACCCACGCGCTCGCTCGGGCGCGCAGCCCTCGCGCCTCCGTCACTTTCGGGACGCCCCAGGGCAGAGAGCGGAGAGAAGTGTTTGCCAACAGTGGGCCGCACCAGGCTGAAGCAGGCGCAGTGGAACAGGCACCCTCGACCTAAGAAGGGAACGGACGGACGCCCCGACTGCCCGCAGCGGCCCCTGCGCGCCCCTGGCACCTCGCGTGTGCCCCGCCGTTCCCCGGTGCCGGCCGCCCGCCCGCCCGGGACGCGCTCGGCTTCGAAACTCACGACTCGGCGGTCTGGAGCCGCGGGGACTGGCTCTGCCGTCCGTCAGCCGCGACGAGCCCCAACGCCAAGGCGGCCCGCAGGCGCAGAGACCGGGCGGATCCGGGGCCCGGGAGAATCCCCGGTGGGGCCGCGTCGGGGGCGGGGCCCGGCTGTCGCGGGGGCGGGGCCGTGTCGGGGGCGGGGCCGGGCTTTGGCGGAGGCGGGGCTGAGCTTTGGCGGAGGCGGGGCCGGGCTTTGGCGGAGGCGGGGTCGAGTCGGAGGCGGGGCCGGGCTTTGGCGGAGGCGGGGTCGAGTCGGAGGCGGGGCCGGGCTTTGGCGGAGGCGGGGTCGAGTCGGAGGCGGGGCCGGGCTTTGGCGGAGGCGGGGCCGGGCTTTGGCGGAGGCGGGACCGGGTTTAGGCGCAGGCGGGGCCGGGCTTTGGCAGAGGCGGGGTCGAGTCGGAGGCGGGGCTGGGCTTTGGCGGAGGCGGGACCGGGTTTAGGCGCAGGCGGGGCTGGGCTTTGGCGGAGGCGGGACCGGGTTTGGGCGGAGGCGGGGCCGGGCTTTGGCGGAGGCGGGACCGGGTTTTGGCGCAGGCGGGGCTGGGCTTTGGCGGAGGCGGGGTCGAGTCGGAGGCGGGGCCGTCGCAGAGGAGGAGGCTGTTGTGGAAGCGGGGCCGTGTTGGAGGCGGGGCTGTATCGTGTTGGAGGCGGGGCTGTATTGGAGACGTGGCCATGGCGGAGGAGGGGCCGTGGTGGAGGCGTGGCCATGGCGGAGGCGGGGCCGTAGTGGAGGCAGGGCGGAAGCTGAGGCGGGGCCGTGGTGGAGGTGGTGCTGTATTGGAGGCGGGGCCGTCTTGGAGGCGGGGCCATATTGGAGGTGGGGCCATATTGGAGGCGGGGCCCTTGTTGGAGGCGGGGCCGTATTGGAGGCGGGGCCCTTGTTGGAGGCGGGGCTGTGTTGGAGGCGGGGCTGTGTTGGAGGCGGGGCCGTGGCGGAGGCGGGGCCGGGGTGTGGCGGGGCCAATTCTGCCACCCAGTTGTCCCCATCCGGGGCGGTGTCTGGCTTTCCCGGCACCTCCCAGGTGAGCGGCCCCACCCTCTGGGTGGGGGCAATGGAGGGGTCCCTCGTCCTGCCGCGGTCTGGGCCCAAGCCCGCTCCCCCAGACCCTCCGAGCGTTCTTAGATCCGAGAGGAAGCTCTGCAAGGTTGCTGTCGCACTTGGAGAGAAGAGCCAACTCCAAGTCTCCAATAAATCATATTCGCCAATAAATCATACTCGAGGCGAACTATCCCCCGAAACACCATCACCCAGGGCGGAGGCCCCGTGTGGATCGGGCTCCCTTGGCTCCGATCCTGGGGGGCGGCGCCCCGGAGCCCTCGGCCGCGGCGTCACCCCAGCGGCGCGAGCTCCTGCGTGGAGCGGCTGCCCCCTGGTGGTCAGCCTCGGGCGTGCACCGCTGCCGGGAAGATGCGCGGGGCGGGGGCGTCCACTAGGAGGGCGAGAGCTGACGTTTCGCTCTGGGAGTATCACAGGAAATCTTGCTAAGTGATACTATTGCTGGGAAGGAAACGCGCCTGTCACATCACCCAGACAGACACGCCCACGAATGGCCGAAGGAATTAAGCTGAAGCTACAGAGTGGCTGCTGCTTGGATTTCCACCTAAGGGGAGTCGGAAGGCGAAAATCCAGGCGGAATAGTAGCAAGAGATTTGCCATGAATCCGTTTTTGCACAGCTTTGCACAGCACGTACAGTATTGAGATACAGGAAGGGTTTGAAAGGCGAGTTTATGACTTGAAAATGATTGTGAAGAATGAGCTTTTCTCGCTTTCTCAAGCTCCCTTTACTGGTTATACATGCAAATCATCGGATTGTTTGTAAAGTTATCAGATTTTTTTAAAATAGGCACATGGCTGTCTTTTTCTAAGCATTATTTAAAAGCAGCAGTTATTCACCACAAACATCCTTATTGAATTTTGACAGGCAGCAGACTGTTTTCTCATATTCTCTTTTCTTTCCCAGGGGTAAAGATGTCCCTCTCGCTTGTCAGGGCTGGCCTCCTCACCTGAATCTGTAGCCCATTCTCTTTATAAAATAGTGGCATCTCTTTCAGGACCTTGCTGTCCAGTTGCCCCTCCTTTTTGTATTTTTTTTTTCTTTTCCTTATTTCTTTCGTGTACTAAAAATATGCTTTGTTTAAACTCCCTTTCTTACCTCTCTCTATAAACAGATCATTTCTTTCCTGCAGTCACTCTCTGCTCTGCCAAGGATGATAGTCAGCCTTGGCCAAGTCAGCCTCTGCTTCTACCACTCTGTTTCCTTCCTGGGTCACCAGTGGACTTCTTCCTAAGTCCAGACTCCATCCTTATGGCCTTTACTTCAGTGCACACTTGGCAATACTGGCTGGCCCCTCAGTTTTACTCCTCTATCTTAAACTAACATAATCTATATTATTACTGTGTTTCTCTTTAGAACTTTACCAAAATATATTTTCAACTGTTAAATTAAATGAAATGTGGCCTGAGGCTGCCTCCCTACTTTGAATTTCTAAATAGCTAATGGCAACCTGACTTAGTATGTTAACAGACTGCAACTTAGCAATATATTCTTAGGCTGGGCAAGATGGCTCACGCCTGTAATCCTAGCACTCTGGGAGGCCAAGGTGGAAGGATGGTTTGAGCTCAGGAGTTCAAGACCAGCCTGAGCAAGAGTGAGACCCTGTCTCTACTAAAAATGGGGAGAAATTAACTGGACAACTAAAAAGATATAGAAAAAATTAGCTGGCATGGTGGTATATGCCTGTAGTCCCAGCTACTCGGGAGGCCGGGGCAGGAGAATCGCTTGAGCCCAGGAGTTTGAGGTTACTGTGAGCTAGGCTGATGCTATGGCACTCTAGCCAGGGCAACAGAGTGAGACTCCATCTCAAAACAAACAAAAAGAGTATATTCTTGTAACAAGCAGTTGAGTCTCAGCCAATCATAGTAGGTGTGCTCCAGCCAATCACAGGCTGCCAACTGATCAGACCATGCCCATATTAGACAAATATCCCAACACAACACACCCTAATAAGGCAGATGCAAATGCTGAGCTTTAACCAATCAAGCTGTTTCTGTAGAGTACTTCCTTTTTCTGTCTATAAATATTTCCTACCCTCATTTTTGGACAGAGTTTTCTGAACCACTCCTGGTGCTGAGTGCTGCCTGATTCATGAATCATTCTTTGCTCAAATAAACTCTGTTAAATTTATCTAAAGTTTTTCATTTAACATAGCACTTTAAAGCAGTTTTTTCCTTTCGGGATGGGGGAATGTGAGAAATAAAATTCTAATACTTTAATACCTTGTCAGGTGCATCTTGTTATCAGCTGAATTGGGTCCCCCTAAAATTCACATGGTGAAGTCTCAACCCTCAATACCTCAGAATGTAACTGTATTTTGAGAGAAGGTCTTTAAAGAAGTGATTACGTTAAAATGAGGCTACTAAAGTGGGGCCCTAGTCCAATATGACTGGTGTTCTTGCAGGAAGAGAAAGACACACCAGGATGCAAACACAGAGGGAAGACTATGCAAGGACACGTGAGAAGATGGCCATCTGCAACAAGGAGAGGCAGCCTCAGAAGAAACCAAACTCTACAGGCAGCCTGATCTCAGACTTCCAGCTTCCAGAACTGTCAGAAAATAAAGGTCTGTTGTTTAAATCACTCCGTCTGTGGTACTTTGTTATGGCAACCCTAATAAATTAATATATGCTTCCTATTCCTTTTCTGTAAGCAAGGTATAGCACTTTAAAAGATGTTTCTTACGGAAGCCAGGTAATAGGTTATCATGGTCTAGGTTTGTGGAGAAGCAGAACTTTACTTTTTAAAAAAATTGTGCCCACTTAGTGATTTGTTTTTAGGATAAAAAAAATAAATTTTAGAGGCTCATTTTCACAATGAGAATTTTATTGCCAGGCAGAATTAGTTAATAAATAAAATATAAAAGAACAAACAGCATTTTTATTGCTAAGGTTTTCAAAGTTAAAAAATGTGTTGTCAAAAATGTGAGCAAACATTCTCCAAAATTGGTGATGAGAATGTGAAAAGGTACAAATTTTCCAGAAGATAAACTGGGAGTATTTATCAAATGTAAATCTTTCTAGATATCTGTATCTATCTAGTTATTTGTTTTCTCTTTGGCCCAGCAACCTCACTTTTAGAAATGTAAGAGTATACATGGTTGTATAAAAAATGATGTTTAATGCAGAATTATTTTAAATAGAAAGAACACTCAAAAGTACTTAATAAGTTCAAGTGATCAGTAAGTTAATGATTAATTTAAGATACATCATACAATGGAACACTTTCCAACTGTTTAAAGAAATGAAGTAGATCTGTGAGTACTAATATGGAAATGTTTAAAAGTTTAATGTTTAAAATAAGTTGGTTAGTGCATATAAAATGATCTTGCTAACACAGAAAAATATTTTATATATACACATTGTGTTTGTGTGTGTGTGTGTATGTGTAACACATGATGATGTTTTGAAAGCTTCTAGAAGTACTTAGCAACCTTATCATTTATCTGTGATAAATGGTTCAAGGGTGTTTGGGAATGTAAAGGAGTATTTT